TGTCTTACACTTTCAAATCTGTTTGACTTTCGTCATTTTTATTCCGTAAATCATAAAGGAATAAAAATGACGAAAGTCAAACAGATTTGAAAGTGTAAGACAGACGAAGCAGTGTTCTCATGGCGTTTCTTTGCCATTATGGAAAGTTCTGCCTCTGAATGAGAGAAAGCGATAGAACTCTGAAACTTGTAGGATATGAAGACAACCTTTATCCCCACCACTAAAAAAACTTTCAGCCCTCTTCGACTTTCCTGGACAGAGTTGTGATTTTTTCCGGTGACGTGAGAAAATGCGTAAAATGCCCATAACTCCCCAAGGGACAAGTCTCCGCTCGAACCCTCTTTTTACCCACTCTACATGCCCTATCGATCCACGCAAGAACGAACGAAATCGGAGTGCTTCATCTCCATAGGTTCCCTCGTCAGCAAAACTTGTATATTGGTCTTTGAGAATTATACAAATGTATTTAAGAAACCAAGCAGCATCCAATTATACTGATATCTGTTTAAACAAATAATTTTGAACTGCAACAAACTTTCTACCGAAGAAAATCGACTATAAATTTTATCTAAAAAATCGATGAAGAAAAATATTAATACTAAGTTTTATTTTCGAGTCTATCATATTTCTCTTTTAATTTGCTAAGACGTTTTAATTCTTTTTCTGGATTATAATAATAGGGTCGTTTAATCTGATGAGTCACTTCACCGGTCGAACGATATTTTGTACGTTCATCTAAATAAATATCGATACATTCTTTACGAAATTCTTCATCTTGAAACCTAAATGAAAGAAGAACTTAGTAGTCATTTTGTTTTCAAGTGGCAAGTGAACGATAATATACCATTTTGTTAAACAATCATTCATTTGTTTTAATTCTTTTCGACATTTGAAAACAGCCATAAAACCTCCATGTTCTTCGCTACATTTTCCAAATGCTAGAAAATGGACAGTAACACATTCAAAAATATGACTTTTTCATTTATAATGTGTATGTATGTATGGATATATTATCTTGTACGAAGTCAAAACATTTCAAACGATGGCCCCGATCGCGCACAATTTGAGGTATACATACTTCTAATCCAACATGTCGTAGAGATTTATCATCTAGATCACCTAAATAAATTTCAAGTTAAGTATACGTTATAAAATTTAGTGAAGAATGAAAAATCAAAGAGGTCATTGATACATTCAGAAATAAGCAGAGCTCTCTCGGGAATTAGTTACTCGTTGTCAGACAGCCAGATAAAGTATGTCTGGACACTCTCTGCTTGAAGCGAAACCACACACGTCAATACTCTGTCTTTAGTTTAAAAACGAAAAACGAAGAAAAACGTGCGTGTGAACAGTATGATTTTTTATTTTCCTTTTAAAACTTTACACCGGTATATAAAGGGTGTTCTAGAAGTTCTGAAGTAATTTTAGAATAAATCATTCTAAAATTACTTCAGAACTTCTAGAACACCCTTTATATATGCGAGTACAATGGAAAAGAAAAAGAAAGTATTGGACGTCCGGCAGATAGTAAAGAGAAAGAGATAGTAAAATAACAGTTATCATTTACTGAAAAAAGAAAAGTAAAAAGTGGTGGAGTAATAAGCCAAATTTCAACGGTTGAACTTTTATTTATCGCCATGATCGATGTTTGCGGATAGAATAATAATCCTAACATAACATCTCTACACATGTATGCCCAATTTTTTGGGATGATTTCAAATAGCTGATCATCTAGTTTACCAATTGAGATGATATCATACGTTGTAGTTCTTTGGACAACATTCCATCCTTGACGAACAACTTCAACTGTTTTGATGGGTATGTCAGTATTCTTCTTAAAATAAATTTCTTGACAAGGATATTGTTTACCATCGTCACATCGGCACGTTTCATTAGAATACCAATAATCATCTGTATTACTTGACTCAGAATGTATCATATCATATTTGAATTTTAAATAATTACTTATTTCAAATGAACTAGTATTATACCACCAATGTGAAGGAAATGAATTAAATACATTACCACCATATTTCCAGTATGTACCATAAAGACATGATAATACGTGCGATGAAGAATTTTGATATGAACTTAATTAAACATAATATTTTGATTCAGGCGAATCAGGAATTGCATATGGAAAGTTTTTCATTACAAATGAATATTCTCTTTGTGGTGGATTTACATATATAGTTTTGAAAGCACGTTGGTTAATCTCATCAACGTTTTTTCGATTGTTGTTGAGTTTTTATGATGTTCTTCATGGCTTCGTTTTCTAATGATGATATATATTGTTTTAATTTTGTAATGTGCTCTGGATGTTGTTCGAGCGAGACTACTTCTGATTGCCTATCAAATGGTAACTTTGGTGCTCTACCAAATACTATTTCAAACGGGATTTGTTTGGTGGTTGAATGAACGGTGGCATTATGATTAAATGTAACAAACGGCAGTTGCTCGTCCCAATCCGTTGTGAACGGTATGATTTTTTATTTTCCTTTTAAAACTTTACACCGGTATATATATATGCGAGTACAATGGAAAAGAAAAAGAAAGTATTGGACGTCCGGCAGATAGTAAAGAGAAAGAGATAGTAAAATAACAGTTATCATTTACTGAAAAAAGAAAAGTATCCGGCAACAACGAGAGAGATGATATGTATGTATGTCTGTGTGAACAGAGAGAAATATAGAGAACAAAGAGAATGAATGTGAATGATGATCACGCGTCTGACATGTGAAAGGCCATAAGCCTGTAACATACACCCCCCTTACAAAAAATGAAGAGTGTCTGTATCGAAAAAAGAAGCAGAGATGTTCACTCGAAAGAGTAGAACATATATAGAGACAAACCGAAATGAAAAGTAAGCAAAAAATGTATTATGTTAATTTTTATGTTTAAAACCGACAAAAAACCGCTAAACAAAGGCGAAAAACTGTTTTTTGTTTTTTAAATGTGCAATAATAAGAACGAGTCCTACGGTTCTGGACGGTCGTTTTTGTTTATGAACTGATGATAATGTTCTTCATTAAATTGGTCTTGATCTAATGCTTGTTCAATCCATTGTTGATGTTCTTCCTTTGTACCAATAAACAATGTTTGTCCAACCATATTGATGTTTGTATACCGTATACCCATTGAACGTAAAATTTGTTTGACCATTGTTGTTGAAAAACCAATACCTTGAGTCTTGTCCTTGAATACTTGTCGTATCATCTCCCATCGATATCGGTTTCGGCGACTCCAGTGGCTTCCTTTTCGGTTTTTTATCTTCTGTTCATATTGTGTACGTTGTTTGACTACTTTGGATTGTAAATGCGGTATGTTGACGATTTTTAATCTTGGTGGTATAACGATTTTGGATTGTAAGTGTGGTTGTTGGTGACCTTGTACATAATGATGATTATCTTCTTCTTCTGCTGTTTGTTCCAATGGTTCTTCATTTTGTACATAAAGAACTAGATCTAAATTCATTGAATCGTGATCTTGCTGTAGGACTTGTAGCGATGGTTCGTCCTGGTTATCAGTTTGCTGTTGTTGATCTTGTACGGTTGGTTCTTCATTTTGAACATGAAGAACCATATCCGTAAATGTTTGATCATAATTTCGAACTTGTTCTAATGTCCAGTCATGGAATATCGAATAAATCAATTTTTCTACGGCCAAACAGTCGTACGCTGCGTATGTTTTTAATCGTTCACGTTTTTGTGGCGGCATATAAGCACCCAAGGCCGTATCAAGTCCAACTGCCCAATTTGCCAATGTGCTTGATTTATCTAAATGTTGGCCAAATGTTCGTGCTATGGCCATCTGAAGACCCCACTGGTCATTAGCTGCCTTGTATGGACGATGAGTACGTGGACAGAGACAATCGGCGTAGTCATCGTTGTTGTGGACCGTTTTTTGTCGTTGACATTCTTCGGTGTGTGGGTGTCGGTCATTATACCACTCTCGAAAACGACGTTGAACATTGAATACTTTTGCTGGAATATCGGAAAGTTGAAATAAGCCACTGTGTGAAAATGGTTCCAGTTCGGCACGTAAACGACCCCATGCATAGATGGTGTTGGTCGATTTAAATATCGTTTTCATCAATTTAACCAGTTCATTAAATTTGTCTGTTTTGTTGGTTTTATCTGGCAGGTGATTCATTTCAATAAATAAAATTATTGATGGGGCGGTGAACGATATGCCTTGGGTCTGAATCAGTGCTGGTTTGTGCGAGTAATAGTCGGACTCAGTGTCGATAATGTATGTTGATATGTTTTCTAGTTTACTGTTTAATTGTTGTATGTCGGATATCGACCGTAATTTATGCACATGATGGATGTTGTATTGTTTTTTAGATACATAAAATGGATCTAATTGTTTTAGTTCGTTTTCTTGATTTTCTCGTCGTTGGCGTTGACGCGCGTTTCTTCGTTGTTTTGCTGTTTGTGGTTGTTTGTATTTCATGTCGATGTTTCGGTAATGATCTTGAGGATGACTGATGTTCGAATATTGAATTCGATGTTCGTTGATGGTCTGATGTTGGATTTGATAATTGACGATATCTAGGTGATATATCCCGATGTTGACGATATCTAGATGGTGGATGTCGATTCATGCTGTGAATAATATAACGAGAGTAGAGAAGTAATAATGAGAATAATAGCAAAACTAGTATATCTAGAGAAAAAAAATAAGAATAAATCTTTATTATCTTTCCCTTTCGGTGTCAGGAAAATTTAGCTGCTCGTCCTCTCAATACCATGGAAATTTAAAAATCTTTTCCTCTCAAACAGGAAAATCTCTAGTCCTCTGTTCTCAGGCCAAAGTTTTGGATGAATTTCCCTATTGGGATTCACAGATCGGTATCATACATATTCATTGTAATTAGTATGATCAATGATGTAGATGCCAAACTATTAATTTCACATCCATCGCATAATTTTTGTTGAAAGTTAATCGTGAATGTTTGAGTGAGATTAATAATGCTGTTAACCAGTAAAAGATATAAATAGTCGACCATATAACAGCCCCTTCTGGCAGTGGAGAGTGGAAAGCTACTCCTCCAACAGGCATTGCTGGATCACATGAGTGACCACCCATAAGTAGACCGATACAAAAATGTTGTGCATTATGGTTCCCACTAGTCGGCTGTTGACCAGTGTTTTAACTGATATTTAGACGTTCGAATATTGGTATGATGGAATCGACGGTGATTTGTTTTGTCAAAGTTGGTTTTTTGATGTGTTGCACTATATATGTTTTGTCAGCCAATCGTTGAGCGATTTTAAACGGACCTTCATAGCGAACATCAAGTTTTCGTCTATTATTTATTGTTTTGACTAAAACCAAATCACCTAAGTTGTATACTGGATTCGATCGATGTAAATCGTAACGTTTTTTCGATTGTTGTTGAGTTTTTATGATGTTCTTCATGGCTTCGTTTTCTAATGATGATATATATTGTTTTAATTTTGTAATGTGCTCTGGATGTTGTTCGAGCGAGACTACTTCTGATTGCCTATCAAATGGTAACTTTGGTGCTCTACCAAATACCATTTCAAACGGGATTTGTTTGGTGGTTGAATGAACGGTGGCATTATGATTAAATGTAACAAACGGCAGTTGCTCGTCCCAATCCGTTTTTTGTTGATTGGATAATGCAGCTATTTTTGCATCCATTGTTGAGTTGTATCGCTCCACTTGACCATTGGTTTGTGGATGGTAGGGAGTGGAGTATAAGTGGGTAATACCAGCTTGTTGTAATAAATTGTTCGTCATTGCGGAGGTAAAATGACTTCCATTGTCCGTTAATATGCAACGTGGTGTGCCATATTTGCAAATAACATCTTCCTTGATGAATCGCACCACCGTTTGCGCGGAACAGTCACGTGTAGCTCGCGTAACCACGAATTTGGATAAAACGTCGGTTATTGCAATAATGTATTTATGTCCATGGTGTGTCATCGGTGCTATTGGTCCGTGGAAGTCCATTAACAGTAATTCCCATATTCCATTTGGAGGTTTGATTGGTTTCAACTGTCCATCCAGTTTTCGTCTGATGGGGTTGTGTTGTAAACATTTAATGCAGGATTTAATGTAATTTTTAACATCTGCACTCATTGTTGGCCAATAATAACGATCGCGGATTTTTTTAGTGGTTCGGTCGCGGCCAAAGTGTGCGCCATTAGCGGGCGTATCATGATATATCTGTAATATTGATGTACGTATGCGGCCTTTTGGTATGACTGGAACCGGTCCTGTTTTTTGCTGCCGACGTTTTAGTATGTCGTCTAGGATAACGAATTTCTTGTTATATTTTTGTATATTGGTTACGATATGTTGTATGTGGTTATCCAAACGTTGCTATTCACGTATATCTTCTTCTGTAAATGGAATAATCATATTATCATCGATCTTTACTGTTGCTGGCTGCTTATTTTTATTGTCTGTCTCTTCATCTGGTACATGAAGAGCTATTTTTGATGTACTTTTCGTCTGTCCTGGCTCTTCATCTCGTACATGAGAAGCTTTACTCTGTATTTTGTTTGCTTGAGCACGAGTTGTTACAGTCGCCACAATTTGTGGTGTTGACGTATCCATCACAATAATGTCTTCTGTTTGTGTTGCCGTTGATATCAATTGAACATAATCATCCGGATCTTCTTCACCCTGATCGACGGGAGATCTGAACAAATAATCGGGCATTGCATTATCGTCTCCTCTAATATGATCAATTGTGTAACGATATTGTTGTAGTTTCAATCGCCAACCCTCACATTTCGTGCTCTTCTGTGCTCTTTTATTCAATGCTTTTAATGGATTGTGATCCGTTTGAATTTGAAATTCAACGCCATCTACATATTGATGCCATTATTCAATCGCCTTCAATATCGCATAACATTCTTGTTCAATCGTACACCAGTTTTGCTGTCTCGGGATGAATTTTTTCGATAAATATGCCACTGGTCGTTCTTTTCCATCTGGATAAGTTTGCAATAATACTGCACCGATCCCCATTTTGGACCCCCGTTTGGATTTTATATCTCAATTGATTGTTCGGCAGATGCAGGACGAGATCCGTCGTCAATATATGTTTTAACTCATTGAATGAGTTTTCTTCTTCCTTCGTCAATGTAATTGGTGTTATTTTTGAACTAGACTGTTTCTTCTTTGGAACAAATTTATACAATGGATCAGCTATTTTCGAAAATTGTGGAATGAATTTACGATAATATTCTGCACCTTTGAGAAAACGGCACGCTTCTTCGGCAGTAGTGGGTGTTTGGGTATTCAATAAAC